GGCGTCTCCTCGGCGTCTCCGACCCGGCAGAACTCGGACCCGGCTGATCTCGGACCCGGCTGATCTCGGACCCGGCTGAAGTCGGACCCGGCTGATCTCGGACCCGGCTGATCTCGGACCCGGCTTGCCTCCGGCGCTCCTCCCGGCTTCTGGCTGGGGTTCCCCCGCCCGCCGTTCCTCCCGGCCTCTGGCCGGGGTGCTCCCGGCCCGGCTCCACGGGCCGGCGCTCCCCCGGCCAGCGTCTCCTCGGCGTCTCTCGGACCCGGCTGATCTCGGACCCGGCTGATCTCGGACCCGGCTGAACTCGGACCCGGCTGATCTCGGACCCGGCTGATCTCGGACTCGGCCTGCTTCCGGCGCTCCTCCCAGCTTCCGGCTGGGGTTCTCCCGCCCGGCGCCCCCCCCTCGCCTCTGGCTGGGGGTGCTCCTGGCCCGGCTCCACGCCGGCGCTCCCCTGGCCGCCGCCGTCTGACCGCCATCCCGCCGTCTCGGACCCGGCTGACTTCGGACCTGGTCTCGCCTGGGCGCTCCCGGCGCGCCCGTCCTCTCTGGCTGCACTCGGACCCGGCTCATTTCGGACTTGCCTGAACTCCGAGTGGCTGATCTCAGATCTCAGACCCACCTCCTGCCAGGTGCGATCCCGCTGGTCCTCCCGACTTCCGCCTCGGGTTCTTCCGGCCGGCGCCCTCCCGCCTCCGGCGCTTTCCCGGTCGGCGTTTCTTCGGCGGTCTGGCGCTGTCCCGGCTCTCGGCCGGCGCGCCACCGGCGCTCGCCCGGCGGCTCCGGCGCCTCCCCGGCGCTCTCCTGGTGCCTCAATGTCCGCGGCGAGCACGCGAGAGCTCCATGTTGAAAAGTAACCTCCCTCCATCCCTGCACTGCGACAGACGTTCACGACGATTGTCCGCGGCCATCAGGCGAGAGCCCCATTTTGGAAAGGAACCTCCCTCCACCCGTGTAACAGACTTCAAGACGATTGCACGCGGCGCTAAGGCGATTGCCGCATTGTGAACACAAACCGCCCTCCATCGTGTAAATGTTGCGCAATAGTACACTTCAGGATCATACATGGCGATCGTACATGGCAAGGGAGTCTCTGGCGAAACGCCTGCCTCCCCCCCCCTACACACACGTTCCGTGGTGCGCCAGGGAGGATTTCTTTTTAAGGGGAGAGGATGGAAGAGGACGAGGAGGAGCGGGAGAAAATGAAGAACGGGAGCCGTGGCCGTCTTACGGGCTCTGTGGCCGCCCTGTTCGCGCGCGTGGGCGGTTTTGAAGGTGTCCTTGGGCCCAGGGCGGGCGGCCCTACAGCACTTCCTCCATCCTTTCACATGGGCCACAGGAGCATGCTCAGACGCCCACGCCGTGCAGGCATGCACTTGGATATTGACGTGCATTTTCGCGCGGTGGCTCTCAGGCTCAAAATGGCCATGGCAATGTCGACGGTGATGATGGCAGCGACGGCGGACTACGACTCCGACGGCGACGACTGCGGCCACGGAGACCATCACGACGACGACGTCGACGACGACGACGTCCTCTTCCTCCCTCCAGCCTGCTCCTCCTTCCTTCCCTCCTCCTTCCTCCTTGCTCCTCCCCTCCCGTCTCCTGTGCAGGAGACTCGGCGGCAGCTGTAATCCCGGGAATGGGTTCCAGGGGATATTTCTCCGGCCTTTGTGGCCTTGCACTCTGTGCCTTTCAGGTGTGGCATGCGTTGTCATGCCTTGCGTTGTCATGCATTCCATTGGTTGTGCAATGCAGCGCAGCTCCTTCCAAGTTTCCATTGCACTGCCTTGCATTGTTCTGCCTTCTTGACTTCGCTTTGCGATACATTGCATTCCATTGCGATCCATAGCATTCGCTTTGAGTCCTTTGTGGGTTTTCCATTATGCCCTCCGCCTACACCTTTATGTCGTCGCGCCATTCCCAACCCAACCACGTTTTTTTCACAGGGACCTTGGCTCAAGCGTTTCCTTTCGATCGCACTGCCTTCTGCCAGCCATTCAGTCCCATGGCATCCGCGACCTTCCTAGCGCTGCCCTCTTGCTTGATTAGCCTACGGCGTCGAGAAGACAAGCGCGACGTTGCCTTCCAGGTGGCAGCCGGTCTGGGCGTCGAGCCGACGTAGTTGGCGGGAACCGATGGGGATTCCCTCAAGGCACGGAGTGGGTATGCTAAGCGTTGCCAGGGCGGGCCGGGCGGCCGGGTGCTTTGCTCCTGGTTCGACGCCGCACACAAGACGCGCCGTATTCGGTATGTGCGAAATGCCAAGTCGAATTGGGGCACGCATTGGGGGACCTTGGGCTGTCTGATGAGCCACGAGCGTGCTTTGGCGCAGCTCCAAGACGCTCCTGCCCTCATCGTCTTGGAAGACGACATCCGCCCGGCAATCGATGCCAAGGAGGCCTGCGCGATGATTGCGCAGGCTCTCCGTTGCATCCAAAACGACCACAGGGATTGGCTGATCCTGTACCTTGGCTGCTCTACCACTCCGTGGTCTGGG